TAAGGTTGTGAGGTGAAAAATCTGTAGGATCCTGCCAAAAAAGATTTTGCTGAAGAGATGATCAAGTATACTGATACATTTATCATGTTTATCTTTACTTCATTCAAAGGAGATACGATAAAGGAAGCTGGTAGGATTTAAAACTCGGTGCACCTCAATAAAGTAATCTAGTGTATCGGTTCAAGTTTAGCTTAACATGTTTGATATATTGGACTAGGTCCTGCTTTTGATCACTTGGAAAATTCCCTGCATAAATTTGATGATGGTCCTTTCTTCCTTGGTGGATTTAGCTTGGTAAGCTTCTCAGAGCATAATTGTATGCCTTTTCAAAGCATTGACCTAAAGCATTTTCATAATTTTATTGAACATGTAAAGACACAACCATCCATCATTAATGATGCAGTACGAATATGTAATAGGCCATAACGAAAAGTGACAACACAGTCAAATAATTTTGAATGTATTTTCTTGTTCTCTGTTTTATTTATGGATGAAAAGTGATTTCAGGTGGATATAGCCTATATTCCGTTTGTTGAGAGATTCCAACTCTTCTTCTTAGATGTGTGGAAATATGATATTAGAGAGGGCAGGCCAAAATTAGCAGCATGGATTGAGGTACTTTGAGAAGCCTTATATTTTTGGAGATGTTTTTCAGTTTGAGCAATTGGCTAATTGTTATTAATTGTCTCACCCTTATGTTATACTGGGTCTCAAGTCAACAGACTTCTCAATGGACAATAATATCCCTCTGGTAACCGAGTTGTACCACTTGAGTTAACAGTGGTTGCAATCCTTAAATTTTGTTATAGTATGGAGTTGTGGCTTTGTAATCTTATTTGCTCTCTAGTTTTTCTATGAATTCCTTAAAAGATTGAATCAGTTAACTCCTGGCTCGGGTGCTTATTACAGGACTTGTATCTAGTTACTTATCTTGAATCACTTGCTGTTCTATCAATTCCTTATCTAGGAAGTGGTAGTTGTAGTTCATGGGACCCTGGAAGGTGCAATGTTGTTTCCTACTAAAGGACTCGTACTGGTGGTATTGTTCGATCTGATGAGAGCTCATGCATATCTAGCATCTAGGGGTTTTCATGATATTTTTTTCTCTTTTGCTCTAAAAAAAAAGGGTTGGCGTTTTAGGTAAGCTTTTAAATGAATCCTTATTAAAAAAGGATTTTTCGTTATAGTAATTGCTGTTCTTACGAAATCCTTTCTGGGCTCTTGAATTATAAGATTTATTGTGCAGGAGATGAACAAGATGGATGCATATAAGCAGACAAAGTATGATCCAGATGAGCTTCTTGAGTATTACAGGCGGCGATTTCTGGTACTGCATCTAGAGCCATCCCTAACATAGTAACATGAAATTTTTTTATCAAAGATAATTGTCTGAAGAGTAGATTGCTAAATGCATTTGGTTTTTTATCTTTGCAGCCCTTGCGCTAATTAACTACATCTTGTTTCTTTCAATGCAGTTTCTCCTCAGCTAAGCAACTTGATACATGTACACGAGTACGATATGCGGATTTAACAGTTTACGTAAATCAAATCCGTACTGCTCGGTGTTAGGAAATGTGTTGCTTGCATAAATAAGAAAATAAACTTGTTCGTGTACTGAGACAATAATAAAAATACATGAACATTATCCAACTTTTACAGTTTTGTGTGATCTCTTACTGCAATATTCACTTTTGGAAGCACATGAACAGAATGCTTTAGATTGGTTTTGGCAGAGTGAGTGGTTTTCAAAGGTAAATGTAGTTGATTTTGCTGTTCTTCCGCGTTGGACTTTGATTCTTCTCTTGGATCTAACGACTTCTAAAAGAAATTGGAGAATTTATTTTGTAAATTTATATTTTATATTTTTTAATTTATGAGTTGAATTTTTTTCTGGAATAAATTAAAAATTTTATAAAATTTATTTAAATATTTATGCATAATTTATTTAGAGTCAATTTCATCAAGATTTTTAGTAGAAATTGTAATATATTATCTCGAATTTTATACTACTCTAATTTTTCTTATTTTTAAATAAAACTTGCATATTTAGTAAAATGACGTGTATTTTTCCTGTATTTCCATAAATATAATAATTTATAATTAAATTACAATATTTAAAGAAAACAAAATGTTCATTTACAAATGTATTTTTCTTGTAAAAAGCATTTAATAATTATTTAAATAAACATAAGTAATTTATTTTAAATATTAATAAAAAATTATAAAAGATGGGATTTAAATTATACTAATTATATTTATATTTATAGAATCTATTAGTTCATTTGTATTCTTAAAATACTTGTAACAATTTTTTCTACTCAAGAAACAACTATCATTATAATGCCGAAACACCTAAAAGTTGCCCTTAAGAACCATTTAAATCTTATAATTAAAGTTCCAATGTTGGAATAATTCATACAAACTTATTCTAACTAAATGACTAAACATCATATATAATGCATCACAGTATAGAAAACTCACTTTTTATTTGTGCAACATCATAGTACATAATAATCAAAATGATCGGTTCGATTTGTCCACTACAGATTGTAGTTTATAGCTCGAAATAAGGAAACGGTAAGCATAGACACCAGTCATAGGTGACGAGTTTACTGTGGTGCCTGCAATGAGGAGAATATATGGATTTCATGTCAGCAGTCTACATTTTGTAAAACTACCTTGGATGAAATAACAAGCTAGCATCATATTCACGTTTAAGCATCCTTTACCCGAAACTGCTACTTGTATAACTCAACAAGCTCTTCAGCTAAGTCTTGTTAGCTTATGTGCATCAATCTTGTTCAACTCTTGAAAGGTTTATTAATAAGAAAATAATTCAACCAAAAAACTTAAATTAGAAGGATAGTTAAATTACCATATTGAAAAACATTGTTAGTACAAGCATTAAATATGCATATAGAACAACTGAAGCTCCTCATTAGCTAAAACATAACTATAAAGAATTAGGAAAAAATATTAAATATTTTTTATATTTTATTGAAATAAAAGTAGAGATATATATACATGTAAACAGATTCATCTATGGTAATCAACATAAATGACTTGAATAATTTTCTTCCTAATTACCGCTTACATATTTGAAAACATAATTATACTATTTTGTACATGAAATATTCTATCCTATTTTAATATTCCCTCTCAAGCTGGAGCATAGATATTAATCATTCCCAACTTGTTCCCAATATATTCAATCCGTGTTTCGTTCATAGACTTTGTGAATTTATCACCAAGTTATTCTCATATTTTCATATAATTAGTAAATATAAAGTTTTCTTAAATCTTTTCTTACATGAAATGATAATCAATCTCGATATTTTTGGCACTCTTATGATACATAGAATTTGAGATGATATGAAAGTCAACGTAACACCCACAATTTTTTTTTTTTATGATTAAAAATTAATAAATATAAATTTTTGTTATTTTACTTTGTTTTATTTAATTTAGAGTAAAAAAAATGAAATAAAATGTAAGAAGGATTTAATTGAAATTAATTTGGAGAAAATGGGTAAAAATTTGTGTTCTGAGGATATTTTTAAAAGAAAAATCAAAAAATATGGGCCAAAACGCAATTTTAGAAAGTTTTGGCACGTCAGACGCTGAGACAGCAACCTTGACCAACCAGGACGCGCCAAGTGGTAGAGGCGCTGACGTGGGAGGCCACGGGGGGCCACGCGGGCGATCCGCGTGCGCGCGATCGAACAACTGAGGGTCGTTCCAGCGTGCATGAACGACCTGGATGCGCTCCCTCCCAAACACAATCGAACGAGCAGATTCAAAAGCGATCGGATGGTCCATAGTGAATCGCGATGGACGGCCCAGAGTGCATCGCGATGAACGGTCCAGATTCACTCTTTATTTAATCGTGATATGACGGTTGAGATCAAACGCGATGAACGACCCAAATCAAAAGCATATGAATATAAGTAACCCCCATCCGCACCAAACCCTAACCCTAGCCGCCAGAACCCCTCGCTGGGGAGCCGACCGCCTCCACCCGCCGCCGCACCGGAACCCTTTTCGACCGCCAAAAAAGATAAAAACTTCCTCTTTTGCACGAAATTCAACTTTAAACTCACCCATGCCCAAATCAGAGTGAAAAAACTGACCAATTGGCTGAAAAATACTGGCGAAGCCCAACGACGCCACTATGGAGAATTCACAAACTACCTCCAATGAGGCCTTTTCTGATTTCTGTTTCGCGTAATTTTTCTATCATTGTGATTACCGTTTTTTTCTCTACAGGTTGACCGAAGCGAAACACTCAACCACAACGTGAGCTGGAGGAGTCACTGCACTGGAGAGCCCCGCCGTCGGTGAGTTTCAGTTCTTCGTATTTTTTTGGCCAACCGATGCCCTTTAACGTGTTTGCTCGCAGGAATCGATGCAAAATCGGCCGAATTCGATCGAAAATGGCCAAAAACGACCGACCTGTGGCGGACCGCCGCCGTGCCGAATTTTCAAAATTGGCCGAGTGGGCCATGGAATTGATTTTGGGTTTATTTAGAACATTTGTAGGCACTATAAATGCGTTTCAGTTTCTGGAGAAAAAATTCAGGGAACCCAGGTACCGCCCGTAGGCGTAGTAAACCGTTTAACTCTTTGGTGTTAAATCGAATAAAGATCCCTCAATCTATTCTCTATCATAGAACTGAAGTTTAAATAAATAATAATACGGTATTTTGTGCAATTTTAGTAAACATTCATAATTAATTACGGGTTGCTAATGGAATCGGAACCGAAAATTATCTACTGCTGTTGTTGATTGTTTTTACAGTTTACCTGCATGATGGTATCTTATTTATTTATTTTATGGCTTTGAACGCATGTATGGTTTATTTTACGTGTTTATTGCTGAATCGAGAAAAATAAAATTTAAACGGTAAAGAAATTGTATGATTAAATGATTAGATAAAAAGGCAGTCTTACCAGATATTCTGAGAGATGGTAGACGGATCGGGTATATAGGAAACCCTACCGCGAACGTTGTCTCATACCAGACGGGGTATGAAAACTGAATAATTTAGCGCTGATATCGGATGTGGTATGGGGACGGTCCGCTTCACTCTCATACCGAACGGGGTATTGAAGTTTAATATTTTGATGCTCATACCGGACGGGGTATGGGAACGGACCTGTAATTGAAATTTTTAAAGGAAACGGTTCACGTGTAGCGAGAACATCCCTATGAACCCTCATGGATACTAGTAGGCTGGTGAAAAGAGAAACAGTTATGGTTTGGTTTATTACTAATGGATATGGATTTATAATACGTTCTATGTTGCTGATAGTTCATGAAATTATGATCTGTATGGTATTATTATTTTTTATATGTTGTTTTCATAAATTTCACTATGGTAAGTGAATGAGAAATGATTTTATGATTGATAAATAAATTTACTAAATTTAATGCTCTATTAGTAGTTTTTAATTTTATACCAACCTTTACTTTTGTGCCGGTGATGTAGTGTAATATCCTAACTGGGCTAGTGTAGCTCATCCTTTATTTAACTATTTCAGATCAAGAGGACCTGGTTCCAGAGCCCGATCCGTAAGAAGATTGCGAGTAGATACTAGATATTTTTTATTTTTTATTTGTTTCCTTATTTCTCGTGTTTCTTTCAAAGAATTAATTCCGTAATACTGTTTAGTACTTTTAAGTTATCGTGTAAGGAATGTAAACCTTAACTTTTTATTTCGCTTCCGCACTTAAATTATTATATATTTTCTTTTGAATTTCTGGGATCGTTACAGTTAGTACCAAAGCTGTGTTCCTCGGACCCATTCCTTACACAATAATCCTTAGGGAAACACCAAAACAATGAATTATCACTCAACCATTCCTTGTGAAATGCAGATACACAGAGATGAGAAGAGGAAGACCCCCACTAAACCGAGCAGCCCGGGATGGTTCGCTTAGGGAAGATGTTGACCGGATATTTGAAACGCTAAAGAAAATCATTTCTGCTCAGCAAGGCCGAGATGAGAGGAGGGAGCTACCTTACCCTCCTCCGCTACCACAGGTTGAGCCATCCCTGCAGCGAGAGGATCCCGAGCCATCCCGGTACGACCCTGCTCCTCTACAGTACCACCCGACACCACCACAATATGATCTGGTGTCCCAGCCACAATAGAAGCCGACACCGCCACAGTACAATCTAGTGCCCCCACTGTATCAATAAGTACCATCCAGGGCCCCTCAGTCTACCATCAACATGGCCTAGTCCCTCTTTCACGGGACCCAATTCCTCCAATAATTGACCTAGGCTACATAGTGAGGTACAAGAGACTAAACTCATCTACTTTTGCAGAGGGATCCTCATTTGAAGATGCCGAGTACTGATTAGTAGAGACAGAGAAGGTCTTCAAGACCCTGGGAGTGACTCTCGAATAGAAAGTCACCCTTGCTACCTACATGTTAGTGGGAGAAGCAGACCGTTGGTGGAAACTCAAACAGACCACCCTACATATTCTAGTTACTTGGGAACAATTCCTAGTAGCCTTTCATGCAGAGTACCTTCCAGAGCATCTCCAACATCTGAAGGAGATGAAGTTTGTCCAGGGAAACATAATCATGTCAGAATATACTTGCAAGTTCTTAGAGTTGGGCCGATACTCCCCTAAGGCATTGTTGGATGAAGGCAGGAAGGCTAGAAGGTTCGAGTGGGGCCTCCGCCCATAGATTAGACAACATTTATTTGTGCTGGAGCT